CAAATGTCAAGAAGCAAACAGTAACGAAATAATTACAGGCAACAAGTGGCTGTCATAAAAATATACGTCCAGTCCTCAACCTCCTAACATGGAGAACTATCTGTTGGTATCGAACTGAGCGTAAACGCTCTCATTTTTCCAATTTGGTTGTTAGGTTGCCGACAACTGTTCATGACCCCACTCCCGCACAATCGTAGGAAGAGAACGAAGATGAGCCCGGACAGAGTTGTGTACAGGAAAACATTAGTTCCCCATATATGGCCCAATCGTTTTTGAAGCAAAGTTACTAAATCACATTGGAGCTAAGCAACAGCATAGGAAATCACGAATAATATGAGCGAATAAGCAGCGGCAAAGGAAAGAACAAATTAGGCGAGTTCAATGGAATGTTGCTAGTAGAAATAGGCCTCTGAGATAGCATCCATTATGAACGAGGTACGCCAGCCAATGGAAGTAAAGGCATGATACGTTTAAACAATTGTCAAGAAACACACGTTGGCGAAACAAATGCAGGAGACTAAGAATTGTAGCAAAACATAGCTGTCCATTAATTCTTCCCTTAACATTGGGTATTTCTCCGCCGGAATATTACAACCCACGGTAATTTTGTAGTCATAGCAGTTGCGAATCGACCCACCAGGCCTGGGTGCTGGAAATATTTGTGTAGCCTAATCCCGCGACTTCACTGACTCTAAGACGTCTACCTTTAGCAACCGAGCAAGCACCTCTTCTGCTTACGATCGAAGTAGCTACGGTAAGGATTGAGCTATGATTAATCCTATTCGTGTACGAGGGGTAATGTAGATAATACCTTCCCCGCCGGTAAAGGTTCCTTCCTCTGGTGTCTCGAAACTGGTGACTATTGCTGCAGCAACGTTTGTAACTCTGATGGTAAGGAAAGCTGCTGTGTCTGTAGAACCGAAGGCTGATTGATCCAGTCTCGATTCAGTAGGTTCGATGTAAATGTAAATGGTTCCTCGGGTTGTTGACCCTCCACATAACATCTCAGCGTTCAGCACCCCAATAAGTTCACTTCCCCACCCGTGTATGTACGCAGGCCCGAAGGCGCCCGAAGCAGCTTTGTGTGGCTTGTCGTTTCTAAACTATGCAACCAAGTCCGCTCGCTCAACAACCTTACCGCACTGCATGTGTCAAATACGAAATGCACTGGAATCTGCTTAACACAAAACTGTATGCGAAATGATGATTGTGCACCTTGAGTAGTTTTGTATCGTAAATGTTCCTAAAGGTTCGATAACATAAGTTGGTTGTTTACCATGGGGAATGTGGATTCACATTGACAAAATGCCTAATTTGCTCGCATCTGTTACAAATTTTCGCAGCATGTTTGCACTTTCTAGAAGGACTGTGCCTCAAACTGCAGCATTAGTAGGTGAACGAGCGCCTAGCGTTTTTAGCAACCTTCTTGACACCGACCGGTGAATCTACAACGCATAGCGTTTAATTCAGCTATGAAATTCTGGGAATGTTGGACATTATCTCCAGCAGTCTGCATGCTTGTTACAACATCTTAGGGCAGTTTCCAAGGTCAATCCGTTATCAGCCAACGGGTAGCACTAAATGAAAACCTTCACTCTGACCATCAGAGGATCCCACATCAGATTTCTTCGGCAGTTGTAGAAATCACAATATTCCGTCAAGGTCCGAAGATCGGCAATGAAGGAAGCAACTGACTCCCTCTCACTTTGAACTTGGGTGTTGAACTTAAGTCGATGCACAATAACTGATGGTTTTGAATTATAGTTATTGGAGACCACTGTGACCAGTTCATTAAATTGTTTGGTGCATAGTAAATGGGGAATCAACAAGCTGAGAATTAATTCCGATGTTTTTGAGTCAAAATGGTTGGCGGCATCCGGTTTCGGATTCGCCCGTCACTGTGGCCAGCCACAGGACATCTGCGCCTACAGAGGGACCATGGGTGGATTGCGCTGCACCACCCACAGCTCCATTCACACACCCCATATCCAGTGTAAACCCGAAGGAATAAGACCGGGAGACATGTGGATGGGAGCCACGTCGGCATGCTGCGAAGGGCATTCGGGAGATTTGACCCATCAATCTTCTCAATGATGCTCAATTCCTACGTGCGCCCGCAAGTTGAGTACACAATCCAAGCTTGGCAACCTTGGTTGGAGCGCGACCTAGAAGCGATAGAGGCAACACAACGGAGAGCGACAAAGAACGTGATGGGCCTGCGGTATCACTCTTACCACCGAAGGCTGAAGTTGCTGGGAATTTTCAGCGGACGCTATCGAAGGCTCCGCGGGGATCTAATATTAGCTTAGCAGATACGGAGTGACCCCAACCACGTATGCCGCCATTTGTTGAAACTTAGCCACAACACGCAGCTCAGGGGTAACTGCTTAAATTTGAAAGAACAATACAGGCGTCTAGAGTATCGACGGAATTACTTTTCCCTTCGGGTTTGCCAACCCTGGAACGAACTCTCAGACTCAGTAGTATCCTCTCCTACCCTGGATGTTTTCAAAAAATGATTAGATGTTGCCCTCAGCTCCCAAGATTTTGTTACCTAAGCTCCTCTGTTGTGGATTACGCCAAGCATGTTTTCAACAGGACTAATGTATCAAACGGACCTAAGTGAGCGACCATATTTTATTTTCTCACTCCTTACGTCAACTATCACTGCGCCCCAGTGTCTTTCTGAATGTTTCCGCGCGATATTTCTTTTTCATTTCACACTGATGTTAATTATCAAAGTATTCATCTCGGCAGACGTTCGATAGATGACACACATATTTTAATTGCATCATATTCACCGCTACCATCCTACGGGACATGTCAAGCACTTGCTTTTATCCCGTGATAAATCATTGTTCATTGTTCATTGTTCACGTTTCATCAACGGAGCCGGCCCACACTCCTTCACAGGCAAACACAAGCACGCTGTATTTGGGGAATCAACCGCACACAAGGCAGTGGCTGGACCGTAGTCCGCTCCACACTGAGTGCATGGAACCACTCTTCGAGCCGAGCACGACCACAAGGACAGTGCACCCCGTCCGCTACAGCAACGACCAACTGTATCCTAGAGCCAGTATGGACGAGATAGTTGGTAGTAGACAGGTAGGCACCTTGTCAACATGCACTCAGATTCCCATGATCTGCAATCAAGATTAGAACGTGAGAGGCCCACATTGATCATATCCTGATAACGTAACTTTGGTTTCCCCGCATGACACTTTCCAGTACTCAGCTGACCATATAAGGGTTGTTTCGGTATCCGCGTCGAATCCATACGGCTCACATAACCGAGCCACCTCAGATGTCCCAGCAAAAGTATGCAATACACTGCATACATTCCACTGCGGCGAGAAACTTCCGTGTCTGCAACTCTCTCGCCCCAACCGATGCGCAAAATTCGTCGCAGACACTGCTGATGGAACCGCTCGAGATATCGCACATCCCGACGGTACATCGTGCACGTTTCACTGCCGGATAGAAGAACGGACATCATCATGCATTTGTACACCATCAGCTTCGTGCCAATGATAAGCTGATGGTTGTTCCACACTCGGTACTCTAGCTTCCCGAATGCCGCTGCCGCCTTCGACACGCGATTACGCAACTCAACGTGTAGCTGCTGATCTGTCGACATCACACTCCCAAGGTAGCAAAGCTGCAGGTTATTTCCAATACTTCAGGACCAATCCTGATTCGCGGCAATATTGAGGATTGCACCTGCCTTGTAGTATGGAGGAGGCAGACAGTTTTGCTTGTGTTGATGGCGAGCCCGAATTTGGCCGCGGTCGAAGCCAGAGCACTAGCTATGTGCTGTAACTCATCCGCGCTGCATGAAAACAACGCAGACTCGTCAGCAAACAGCAACGTACAGATGGTTACCTCACGGATTAGAGTTATCGCAATGAAACGACAGATGTTCAGCAACCCACCATCAATACGGTGCTCCACACGAACACCGTAAGCACAAGCTGCATCAAAAGCACAAGATATCATTGCATGAAGATATATATTAAACAGGGCAGGAGTTAAAACACAGCTTTGCTTCACACCAGTGACAACTGCAAAGTTATCCGAGGTCTCTCCACTCAGCTGCACCCTCGCCCGCATATCACTGTGCAGACATTCAATTAAACTTACAAACTTACGCGGGCAACCAAACTTACCCAACACCAGCCACAATGCCTCGCAGTTCACCGTATCAAATTCCTTGGTGAAATCAACCAAAAGTGAGTACAACGGCTAGTGCCGTTCTCTGCACTTCTCCTACAACTGACGAGCCGCAAACACCATATCTATGGTGCTGTGACCCGAACAGTATGCATACTGCTCTTCCGCCACGTTCGGTTCCACAAGCTGACTGACGGGGCGGTTGAACAGGATTCGGGCAATCACCCTGCCCACACAACTCAGCAAGTTGATGCCACGATAATTCGTGCAAAATTGCTTACTACCTTTGCCCTTGTACAGTGGTAGCACAAGGGCATCCTTTAGCTCAGGAGGCACAACCTCCTCAATCCATACACGTTGCACCAATTGGTGAAGCACAATCAACAATGCGGGTCCGTCGTTTTTCAATACTTCAGGCATGATCCCGTCGGCCCCAGCCCACTTGCAATTTCGCAGCTGAGCAAGTGCTCTCTGCGTCTCATCCAGTGTCGACGTGCCCGCCAGACTCGTTTTCACATCGTGCTGCTTGAGGCAGTTCAAGCAAGTTCAGTCGATCTCTGAACGGTTGTTCAAGAGTCAGTCAAAGTGTTTTCGCCAGATCTGCATTATGTCTGCTGTCTGTGTGCAGGTAGCCTCTGAACTACCATCGATCAGCGTCCTCAGCGGCTGCAATCTCGGTCCATACACCGCCTTCAAGGAGTCAAAGAATTCCTTGTGTTGGCGGCGTTCCGCGTAGCATGCCAGCTGCTTCGCGTGCTCTGTCCACCATATATTTTTGATGAGACGGAGCTCTCGGGTCAGTCGCCGTCGAAGTTTGCGAAACTGACTCTTCTTCCCCAAGTCACTACGGTCTGCCACATGTGCAGCAAATTCTGCATTCTTCCCCGACACCAACGCGCCAATCGTCGCATTATTGTTATCAAACCAATCAGGCCGCTTACAGTTTGCGCGCCCGATGGTCTCCTCTGCAGTAGCTGTCACCTGGTCGTGAATGTGGTGCCACAGGTCGCGCACTGTCGCTATGCATTCCACATCAATCAGCCGTGCAGCCATCGCCTTCTCCAGCTCAATATCTTTTGCCCCAGTACCGAGGGAGATAATATTAAACGTTCGCCGATTCACAGTGGGTGTGCAATACATCGATTTACTAAAATATATGTGCAGTTTGGTCCGCACTAACGTGTGATCAGTGCCACACTCAACTCCACGCAGTACACGTGTCATGCGCACTTCACGCATTTCACGCTGACGTACGATGACATAGTCAAGGAGGTGAGCATGACCACTCCGTGGGTGCGTACAGGTTGCTATATCACTCGCACTCAGTGCAAACCGAATGTTCGTGATCTCCAGGACGTGATTGGCACACAGTGAGAGCAGCCTGACACCGTACGCATTCGCTTAACCAATGTCATGCGAACCGATAACATCTGTCCACACCGATTCATCACGCCCAACACGCGCGTTGTAATCACCCAGCAGAAATAGTCGGTCACTCCTCGGCACAGACCGTATCACGGAGGATAGCTGAGTGTAGAATTGATCACGCGTGTCATCGGGATAACATATGATCGGACCGTACCTGCATATAAAATGGACAAACTTACCTCTCCCGAGTCGTAGGCGAACAGTCATCAGTCGCGCGCTGATGCCTGTTGGTTCACCCACCAGCTGGCCATTCAGGCGATCGGATATTGCAAATCCGACTCCATGTTCACGTGGTTCTGCGGCGGCGTTGTTCACCCAGTAGTATGTGTAGCCAGTATCTGCTTCATGCAACTTACCTTGCTCGGTGAGCCGAGTTTCACCGACAGCCGCAATATCGATGTGGTAGCGCGCCAGCTCCATCGCGACGAGTGTAGTGCGTTGCTCCGGGCGCTCACTGGAGTTCCGGTCCAGTAGTGTGCGCACGTTCCAGCACCCGATGCTGAGTGCTTTGCGCAGGCATACGATTGCATTGGTGGGCAATCGCATGCCAGGTGGTCATTTTGCTTCGGAGGTGGGCTTGAGGGACTCTACCCGGAGCCTTTGGCTCAATAGCTTGACTCACAAGGCAGTGGGTGGTTTGGAGGTTTGCTTGAGCGACTCCGTCCGAAGCCTTTGGTTCAACAGCCTGACCACCACAAGGCCTGCTCCCCACAAGGCAGTGGGGAGCAGATCCAGCTCGGGAATGTGATTGCAGAGACAGATTGGGATCTGCTTGACGGTCGTCACACGCAGTCTTTGAGGTACTGGAAAGATTCATATATGTTTTGCGACCGTAGTATGATAAACCTGCGACCACGACCAGACGCAGGTGGGTTTTGGTGGGTTTGCACCAATTGAACCTGGGGCTGTCTGGCTTGAGGCGGACAGTAGCAAACCAGTGAACACCCAGCGGTGCCCTCTCACCATCAGAGACAATGCGTGGCACTCATGCTCTACGCCAATCGCGCTGTGAGCTTATAACCCGTAGACCTGTTGTCTTCCATGGCTAGGTTTTACGGAAGGAGGGCCGTCGACCACTTCCTAACCTCGGAAGAGGATGGACTAGGATACTGGCAGGGCGCCCACACCTGACAGGAGAACGACTCAGGTCCTCAGCCAAGGCCTTCGATTAAATGTACACCTGAAAGGCAGTGGGTCTAGCACATGGTCAGTTCACTGTCTTAAGCGAATTGGTGTGCTAGATCTTAGCAGGGAGAAGGACGTAACACAACTCCCACCCAGCGGTCGCCACGAGGAGGCGTCCAGGACATGAGCCAGGGGCACGATAGTAGCAGCAGTCGGTAGGCCATCTGTCAGAATCTAGCAACCACCAGCCTAAGGGCACCATAGGCTTACCCGCCTATATATATATATATATATATATATATATATATATATATATATATATATATATATATATACAAGTCGCGCAAGTCACCGACAGTGCGGTCGCAAAAAGACTGTCCTCCTGCGTTATTCTCCTCCAAATCTTTGGATTTATTCTCACATTGACCTACGTGCCATCATTCGATTTGGCTCCGCGAGATCCTCCTACCACTGTTCATCTATTGGATCTATCATTCACGGATCACCAACAAACTGTGCTCTTGGAACTTCGAAGTCAACCGTAGCTGAACGCTGTTAAAGGGACGACAACAAACGCGTCCGTTGTCACTACTCATACGGCTGAGGCCCCTTTCATCGTTACGCAACCCGCAGCCAAATTTTTTTTACTACCATTACCACCATGGGACTCAAGACCTCATCATCTACCCAAGCGAAGAAACCAGTTACTGGTCTTCACAAGAAGGTGGACATTAAAAAACACCATAATCCCTTGACAGTTATATGCTCCAATGTGACTGAATCCGGGGCGAACTCTATAAAAGATAAGATATTGGACGACAAAAAGCAGTGGGACTCCCTGTGTCAACTGATGGAGGTTCAAGTTAAACCAGTCAGTATGATGCGTCTCATCCGTCACCCAAACTCCATACACTATGGTGATCCACGTTTACTCCAGGTAACACTACAATCAGCTAATGATGCAGAGGAAGTTCTCTTGTCAGCTACTCGCCTCCGTACCGCATCATGCACAGTTCGAATCTTTCCAGATGTTCCTTGGAGCGAACGTCAAAAACGCAAACAAAATCCGGACGACTTCCGTAAACGACAAGACGCCAAATCTGTTCTTGTTCACGGTGTCCCCGAGCTCAAGACCTCAAGCGATCTAGAGGCCAAAGCGCATGACTGGGATGAATGGCGTTTTATTCGCGAACTGCTCTCACTCGAAAACGTTATTGCTACTTCGACATCAAGGTTACCACTCTCACCTAACTACAAAGGATGTGGTCCCCGAGTGATGAAAATATCGTTGCATTCCGAAATGATGGTAGAATACGTGATCAATACGTGGCGCAAAATGCGTCAAATGCTACCATCCGAAATACGTATAAAGACGATGGGCACTGAACCATCAACAGGCCATGTCACACTGAGCAAGCAACGTACCAATACAATTCTGCCGCCATGTAGCTCAGACCAGAGACAATGCCAAAACAAGCTGCCGGCTGAAGGGGGACAAGTTGGTCACCCACTTGTTGGCGCTGAGAGCTCAATACAACGACCTAAACTGGCCCTAGGGTCTGCAGCATCGGTCCTACAAAAAAACTACCGGCAGCCGACCCCACAAGGGTCGGCGTAAACTCCAACCGAAAACCAGAATCTACAAACACTCTTCTAACTACCGATGCCCTCACCTGCTTCTATACTAATGCACAAGGTCTCCTCAGCAAGCTAACCGAACTTCGATTTCGCCAGGTCTCCACGCCCTGGGACCTGGTTATGGTCACCGAAACCTGGCTGAGCACTGAAATCGCGGATGCCGAGATTGCGCTACCTGGCATGAGTTCCTTACGAAAAGATCATCCTAGCAGAGGAGGCGGAGTGCTTTTGTATTATCGATCCGACCTACATGTTGAGATCATTGATGACTCAGAAGCAAACATCAACGATTCTCTTTGGTGTCGTATGCACCTGAGACGTGGCGATGTGTGTTTGCTAGCAATAGTTTACCGTCTTCCAATGTCTACCTTGGAAATAGATCAAGGCCTTGCTGCTGCGATGAAACGAGTATTGACACGTCCACACAATCACGTTCCTCTGGTGGGGGACTTCAATCTGCACGCACTCGAATTTCCAGCATCGCCCAGCGAACAGTTCATAACTGATTTGCAAGAACTGATTACCGATGTACCACTGTATAACAAGGTCACCTCCCCCACTCGTTTCAGAACAGGTGACACCCCCTCTGTCTTGGACCTTGTGCTCACCAATGAGGAACTAATGATTGTCACCGTTACCATAGCTACACCACTAGGTCATAGTGATCACGCGACGTTGCACTTTCGTTACATCTGTTATTCGGAGTACGTTAGAGAGAACGACGAGGAAACTTATATGGTTACACATTACGACATCTTGTCTAACCTTGTTCAAGACACCAACTGGTCCTTCCTGACCGAGAATTCGCCCGATGAGGCTTGGATGGTGTTTGTCACCAAATTCACTGAGCTAGTGGCAAATGCATCAGAACGCAAGGCCTTTCGCCCGAAGCAAGTGGATTCGTTCCTAAGAAGCCGTACGAGAAAATCTATGGCCTTAAGGGATTCGGCCTGGCACGCTTACAAAGTTTGCCCAAGTAATCTGACCTGGGGAGTCTACACAACTCAACGAAACCACTGCGTCAAGTTGATTCGCGAAGACAAACTCCAGCACCAACAGAACTTAGCGGCGAAATTCAGCAAAAATCCAAAGCTGTTGTATAGAAATATCAACAAACTCCGTAGAGTGCAGCGCGGGATCCCGGTTTTGCGTGCAACAGATGGTCATGCGCAAACTGCACAGGACGCGGCCAACGTGTTTCGTCAACACTTCCTCCATACTTTACGGAGTGAACCATCCCTTCACCCGATTTTGACAGAGCTCTCACCGTTCCCAGGTTTACACAACGTATCGTTCACGGCAACCAATGTGTTGAAAACGCTAATGTCGTTGCGTGTGCACAGCTCGCCAGGCGTAGACGATATTAAACCGAAGGCGTTGAAGGTAGCGGCCCTAAACATTGCCGAGCCATTAGCTCAGTTCTTTCAACGTTGTCTTGACGAAATGCTGATTCCCACAATGTGGAAACATGGGCTAGTCACTCCCATTTACAAAAGCGGTAATCGTGCGGAGCCGTCGAACTACCGTCCAATCACCCTCCTCCCAGTTTTATCCAAAGTAATGGAACGTATAATTGCGGAGGCGCTGATGGGATATCTGGAGAACAACAATATCATAGTGCCACAGCAACACGGATTCCGCCGAAATCGATCCTGCACTACAAACTTGCTGCTGGCCCGAGCAAGCTGGACGGAGTCAGCTGATGCTAGATTTGGAGTCGACGTTGTCTACCTGGACTTCTCGAAGGCGTTCGATCGTTTGGACCACCGCATCCTCCTACACAAGCTTTGAGGCTACGGAATCGGTGACCCTGTGCTTGGTTGGATCGCCAACTTTCTCACTCAACGTCAGCTGAATGTGAGAGTCCG